GCTGACATAAGGGGAACAAATTGACACCCAACTCATAACTGTTCAAAGCTAAGCTCTTTTAGAGTCCTTAATGGACTAGCATCCTCTGACGTTTGAGCTACTAGTATTTGCAAAGTTGCTATGGTGACAAATGTAGTTCTGGTTAAAAAAAAATAATAATTCTATTTTGCTTAACCACAAACTCCAGAAGAACTCATCATGGTTCCAAAAGGACATTTCTGCCAAAATGAATGCACGGTGCCCTTTTTTCTGAGCAATTGTATCTTTAGTAAAATGTAAGCGTACAGGGAAGTCTGACCTCGCTTTGGTCACGGTACCTTATGACTGCCTACTCAAATTACTTTAAAACAGGTTTAAAATAGCACAGTGTCCATTTCTTGAAGGAAAGATCAGGGCACAAAAATGCCTGAGGCTTGCTTCAATTTGTTTTTGGTCATTCCGATGAAGTATAGCAACCCTAAAGGCAGTGTGATCCTTCCCGTTAGGTTCCTCTGCCCAGCACAGCAAACCAATCACACATGGCGTAAAGGTGCTTTGACTCATGCAGGGGGGTCTGGGGCTATGGGCAATGGGCAATGGGCAATGGCATTGGACCCAGGGTTACAAAGATAGCTGTAGCAGTTTTTGCCCATGTCCATCCCTCTAGTCTTGCAATAAGCAAAGCCAGCTGGGGAGATTTGATCCATCTTCTGTCTTTCACTAGAAATGGTTGTCAGACGACATCATGATCTTTTTTGTGCATGAAACATTTTGCAGACAGGGATCTGAATATGTAGAGATAATAGCTGTGTTATGAGAAGGGGGCACTAGTGAACTTGGCACCCAGACAGACCAGCTTCCAAAACACTTAGGAGACAGACTTGTGAAGCTATCTCATCTTTTCTTACAGAAACCCAGGGCCCTGATATATAACCGGATTCCCTTCCAGGGTGCCCTCTCCTAAATGTGTAGCCAAGCAGGTTAGTTTCTATTCCAGTGCAGTTTTCCTAAGCACCCTATATTGTCCAAGGGCCAGGGGGAGGAGGCAGAGAGAGAGATGCTCTACATCTTTTGCTCTCTCCATTGATCATATGGGAACAGAAGGGAGATTAATATCCTACCAAGCACTTGACTCAGAGCCTAAAGCCAGACACAGTCACAAGTTCAGGGCTTAGAGTAAGCTTGCTGCACCCTGCGTTACCTTCAAGGGCAGGTACTGCTCTCAGTTAGAAGGTGGTAGCCCAGACGTGGAGCTTTCCTTCCTACAGAGCATATCAGTATCAGCAGAATGGTGGCAGTCAGCAACTGAGAGGTGCTACAAGTGTGCTCCTAAGTTGCCCATTAGCTGTATCACATTCAAACTGCAGAAGAGAGCTTTGTAGGGTAAGCTGTTTCACCACCATCACTCAAGGTACCTTAGTCTTTCAAGGCCTCAGAAACTCCAGTTCAGCTGTAGCCATGGTTAGGGTTTGTATCATTTAAATGGAAGGTAAATCAAAGTCCAAACTCAGCCCCTGTCCGTGGCTTAATGCACGATATAAAAGTTCCTGGTAGGTCAAAGACCTCTAGTGCAATGTGCTGAAGAGAAACAACAGAAGGAAGACCAAATGGCTTTGAAGTTTTGCTGATAAATTTAGACCTAAAAGGTGAAAAATAAGAAATTAATAAGCTTTTGATTTTGTTTCAAAGCTCTGGTTTTAGATGATAAGGTTTGCATTAAAATGTGAAAATACTTTTTTAATTATGTGAGAGAAAGTGTCACCACTTCTTTCTAAAAATATCAATGGCAGGAGAAAATATTGGAAGACTATCTTGTTTTTCCAAGGAAGAGTAAAACCTGTGTTGATACTATTCCTGTAATAATAATTCCTGACAGATAATCCTTAGTTTATTTGAAATCCAGAATTAAACAGAATCATGTTACCCTAGATGTCAAAATCAGTATTATATTTCTTGTCTTGTTACAATTCTGTTTGAAATTGATTTAAGGGGAATTTGCTTTGTTTTGACTTCTCTCTCTCTCTCTGTGTCTCTCTTTTAAGGTCAACTCAAATCAAAACATACTCTTGGGATAATGCCCAGGTTATTTTGGTCGGTAACAAATGTGACATGGAGGATGAACGGGTAATCTTCACTGAGAGAGGCAAACATTTAGCAGAGCAACTTGGTAAGAAAAGAGATGACAAAAGCTTTACCATTGCTTGTGAGAATGCACAAAGTAATGTCATTCATTGCTACAGTACTTCTAAGGAAATGTTTGTGATACATTCACTATAAAGGAATAGCCATACACCGCCTCCCTTTTGTTTCTGCAGGCTGACGTCTGAACTGTCCTTGTTGGTATCACTAATACTGTAATATCATTAGAATGGACTTGTGTCCAGGGATGACCTTATGCAAAGTTGTGACATGTCTGTCATCTAAAAGTGTCCACAAGACTAGTGCTGGCTCAGACGCTGGCTTAGACTAAGGACATATCTGATAAAATGTTCCTTATGCTGCTTTTTAGATAGGAAGTACATTATGGTCTTTGTGATAAACAGCAAGATTAGGCGTGTGTCTGTATATACACAATATGTTTAGACAGTTATATCTATAGGCAGATACGTCCTAGTCAGGGAAAAATTAAAAAAAAAACACCAACAAACCAACAAAAAAAAACGAGAGGAGAGGAGAGGAGAGGAGAGGAGAGGAGAGGAGAGGAGAGGAGAACAGCTGAGATAAAAACTGAACTAGACCTCTATGTAA